GACCTCCAAGGTCCCTTCCAACTCAGTTATTCTGGTATTCACAGCTGCCGCATCATCGCAACATTCCCAAATCCCTCTCCCTGAGTTGGCCAGGGCTCCCTCCATCCCTAAAACCATCCTTCCTTCTCTCCCTACTCCCTCTGATTTTTCCCTTTCCTCTTTTCTTTCTCCTTTTCTCCTTCCTTCCTCTTACTCTCCCTTTTCCTATTTCCCCCTTCCTTTTTTCTTTCCTTCCTCTTTTTCTGTCCCCCACTATCCTTCCTTTCCCTCCTTTCTCTCGCATTTCTTCTATTTCCAGTCCTCTTCCCCGCCACAACTTTCCTTCCTTCCTTTGCCTTTCTTCTTCCTTTTCTTCCTCTTTATTCTCCCTTTCTCCCTTCCCCTCCTTCTGCTACTCTTCCTCTTTCTTTCCTCTTTCCCTCGCCCTTTCAGACCTTCCTTTTTCTTCTCCTTCTTCCCTTCCTTCCCTCTTTTCCACGTCCCCTTCCTCTGTTCTCCTCCCATTTCCTCGTTCTCTTCCTTCCCTTCTAACTCCCATCTCCCTCCCTTTCTGAAACCACGAGCTTCGTCTCCATACCGTCCCCGATGGCAGCTCCTGGCCATCCTGGGATCCCCATCCGTGAGCATGTTCCCCAGCTGGGAAAGGCGTCTCGAACGCCGAAAAGCATCATTTTACGGATGGGGCTGCCAAATGTACACACTTCTCCTTTTGACACCAAAGTGGGGAAGAGTGCATCATCGCTCCTTATGCAGATGTGCCGTCTGGAATTGTCCAGGCTGATCCCCGGGTAGGAGAAAGGATTGTATTCAGCATGGAAAAAGTTCTCTTGCCCGGGGCTGTTGAATCTGGGCTTGCTCTCCACTGCCCTCCCCCCTCCTGCTCCCTCTTTTTAATAATAATAATAATAATAATAATAATAATAATAATAATTCCCCATGGTGTCTTCTCATTCTCTCACTGTTGGGCTGAATTGCCTGCAGCTATTGGGTGAGTTCTGTCTACTCTAGTGAATTAGAATTAGAATTCTTTATTGGCCAAGTGTGTGATTGGACACACGAGGAATTTGTCTTGGTGCAAATACACTCTCAGTATACAAAAAAGAAGATATTATCATCAAGGTACAATAGAATGTAGAATAGAATGGAGCAGAACAGAATAGAATGAGGAATAAGGAACAAGGATAGGATAGGATAGGATAGGATAGGATAGGATAGGATAGGATAG